TTGGTTTTGTTAGGGAGCAAAGGACAAACGAAGCAAAATTCTACAAAAAATAGAGCGAATGGGGAATGGGGGGGAGGGTGGGAGGAATTAAAAATTACTGCTGCAGTCGGCTTTTACAGCACAAGTATGGAACACTTTTTTGTCAAAATTAAGATTTCAAAAAAACCATTTGCTTTTAAAAAAAAAAACCATTTATTTCAAAAAAACCAAACTTAAGATTTCCAAAAAACCATTCACAGTATTGCAGGGAGCAAAAATACTTGCACGGAAAAATTAAAAGCATTTTTTTCGTCATTTATATAATTTTTCCGTTAGTTAGGCACTGCTGGATGGGGAAATTTTTGTGGCAGGAGAAAAATTTTTGTAAAAAAAGCTGCAAAATTTTGCAGGTCACCACCATCGGATGCGTGTACATGTACCGTTTCGAATGCGCATGAATCGGATGTTAACGTAATATCATGGAATAAGTTTGAGCCACTGATTGCAAGTGGTGGTAATGATGGGGCCATAAAAGTGTGGTCACTCAAAACGATGCAGGTATTTTTTGAATCCTTAAACCCCCTCCCCTGGCGTTAAAAATGTATTTTTGACAAATTGTAAACAATTTTTTGCAACTTTTAGATTGGAATTTTAATCAAATTTTTTCTAGTTAAGTTCAATTACCTTACCCGAAGAGATAGCGCACATACATTAAATAACTGGCAAGTAATAACTGAAGAATGGAAAGTACGGTGTCACGAAAACCCTCTTCTTAGTCTCTTTTCTGAGTGGTTCAGATCGACAGAGATACGGTGGATCTGTCCGGAATACAAGACGGACTACCGCTGTTCTTGTAGCCACTGCCGTTTTAGTAACACAGGACCCACTACCAGTCGAATAATACCCGCTACCAGTAGGGGCACGTGTTGGTAATAAACTCTGGCGTGACGATTGGCTGCCCTCCGGGTGATGAACAGGCTGGGCGCGATGAACCGGCGACCGGCTTCCTCCTTCGATTTCGAAAAGAATGAGGAAAAACAGGCGATAGGGGTTTGGATCGGCCCTATCGCCCTCACAATCTCAGTGAATATCGAACGTTAAACATGAAAACCGCAACACATTTTCAAATACAGTAAATAGCGACGCGCACCAGAATAGCTGGTGCGATCATGCGTTTTGTGCAATTCAGCCTATCGAACAATTGCCTGTTAATGATTTTCACTGCTTTATACTTTAGTCTATGCAAAAATAGTTCAAACATTGGAAAACAGTTAAAAATTTTGCACCAGCGTATGAAAGCTAAATTCGAAACCTTGAAGGATGAATATCTTTCCGTGATTCCCGCGTTAATAGTTAGCGCATGAAAGCTGAATTCGAAGCCTTGAAGGATGAATATTTTTCCTTGATCCCAGAGTTAATTTTTTTCACTGCTTTGTACTTTAGTCTATGCAAAAGTAGTTCAAACATTGAAAAACAGTTAAAAATTTCACGCACAGCGTATGAAAGCTGAATTCGAAACCTTGAAGGATGAATATCTTTCCGTGATTCCCAAGTTAATAGTTTGGCGCATGAAAGCTGAATTCGAAACCTTGAAGGATGAATATCTTTCCGTGATTCCCGAGTTAATAGAGTATTTGAAAGCTGAAACTTTGAAGGGTGAATATCTTTCCGTGGTTCCCGAGATACTAAGTTACCCGTAAAAAACTCTCACGGAGCCGTAATCGTTACCCGCGGTTACGGGAAAGCTGAATTTAAATGGGCAAGGTTGAGCGTGGGCAGGGGTCATAACCCTAAAATTTCGGCCACTTAGACTCCGTGGCTCCTGGGATATTTATTTACCCGCAAAAAACTTTCACGGAGCCATACGTGTTACCCGCGGGTACGGGGAAGCTGAATTTAAATTTGCGGG